TTTAACCTTCAACGACATCAACACGAGAAAAGTCACTTGTGTTCATTGTGTAACAACAAGAGCAACTGCGTGGTATATGTCTTGATGCCCTATGTTTTACTTTTTATTTCCACCCAAAACAGTTTGATATAATTTATCCACAATACAAATTGTTCATTATTGTATTGGTCAAAACAAATATTTTATCTTTGACAGAAAATGGCTAATAACTACTTACGTATATCAAACGTTGGAATGAAAGACGCGGGAGTTTACCAGTGCGAGGCCGAAGACGAAAACGGTTGCTATAGTTATAAGGAAGGCAAACTTCAGGTGGTAGACGTAAAGTCTTTCCGTTCATGTACGTGTTTTTACTTTCAATTTATAAGGTTTTGTAAAACTTAGATTCATATTGTTTTATCCGCTAAGGTTTTTGTTTCAGAACATTATTTATTTACATGTGTTGATTTTCTTGTTACAATGTATGCTAAATATGAAAAATACGAACCAGCAACACAGAAATACCGACTTGACGCCCAGCAGGATACCTAACAAAAATATGACAGGGCACAGGGTAGTAATTTTAAATAGAATTCAGAATAGGTAATCATAGGAAACCGACAAGGTTAAAGATAGGCCTACAAAGGTTAAAGGGTACAGAGAAAAAAACTTGAGGAAGATTGGGGGGGGGGGGCAAAATTGAAAAATGCTATAAACAGGCTCAATGAAACCGAGTATTTCAGCATTGCAGTTTTGAAATTTTCTTTAGCGATTCTATTTTTCTCTACGCAAGTAAGACACTTAGATCCCTTGACTTCTCGACCTCTTAGGATACTAAGATGACTTCTAGACACCTTTACTCTTTAAACTCTTTTTACATGACTTTTCGACCCTAGTGGGTAAGATATTTCGACCCCTATATTAATTGTTGTACTTTGAGAGGCCAGTATGATATTTCGAGAGATAAGTTAAGGTAGATAGCAAATATTTTAATTGTTTTCCTTACAAGATCCGACAAAATTTTGAAAAAGGAAAAAAAAAACAATAAATGACGTTGTTTTAATTAATTTAATAGTTCATGTTACATAACAATAATAATATACATTGTATATTTTTTTTTCAAAGCTGAGACTTAATTAATATTAGTAAAGGGATGATAATAATAAGCGCGAATGTACATTGCGTGATTATTCATAATATCTACAATTTCTATAATTGTGTAAAGATTTAGTTAATATTTTCCCTTTGAAACACATGTCTGTTATATTGGCGATGAATATTAATACATATCTACTAAATTGATGTTATATTTTGAATTACCTTGCTGTAGTTCGATGGTGTTGCGGTTATCTCGTTTAACACTATGAAAAAGAAACCACAGTACCAGTGTCGATCAATACATATCGATCAATACATATCGATCAATAATTAATTTGTTGTGATTTGTTCATGTTTTCGACTAAACGTTTTTCGAGAATTATATTTAACTACAACAATGCTCCTTTGTTTATTATGATTTGTAGAATAGACTAAAAATAATAAATAACGTATTTTCATCTTCTTCTTATTACGGTGGCACAAAGGTGACATATGTGTGTGTTTTTTTATCTCGTGGCCAGGAGATACTATGTCGTGGCCACGAGTTACTAAGTCGTGGCCACGAGATAGCTAAGCCGTGGTCACGAGATAATATGCCGTGGCCACGAGGTACAAAGTCGTGGCCACGAGTTACTAAGTCGTGGCCACGAGATAGCTTAGTCGTGGTCACGAGATAAATAACCAATTAGATTTCACCATTAATATGATTTTCCCTAATTAACAAGACTTGTGCTATAGTAGAAGGATACCCCTTTTTCACTAGCCTGTAAAAGTGCCATTTATACAACTTATTGACTGGTTAATAATTTTACATTTAACGTCACTGTGACCCTGATTTTTGACCCAATGACCTCGAAATTATTAGATGTCATCTACTGATCAGGTGCAATTATCTTTCTGGGTTATATAAATTATAGCTTATCCTTTCTACATTAATCATCAGACAAGGATTTTACTTTATAGACTATCTACTGTCCATGGGCAATGCCCTTTCAAAATAGAATAAACCAGGACTTATTCCTTCTCCTGTTTAAACAAGGTTAACAGGCCGTAGTACGTACAAACTAACCAATTCGATCACAAAATTGTCCCAACAAAGAGCTATAGTCAAAATTTATGTCTGATGGGCCTTGGAAGGTGACTTTCTAATATGATCCTAAAGACAAGTTCAAAATGAATATCTTCACTATTTTCAAAGATAAATGTTGCCAGTAAAAGTAAGTTATTAATTAAAAAAATATATAATATATATAGTGTATTCTGATTGGTTAATTATCTAGTGGCCGTGACTTAGCTATCTCGTTCCAACGACTTAATAACTCGTGGCCACGACATCTCGTGGCCACGACTTAGCTATCTCGTGGCCACGACTTAGTAACTCGTGGCCACGACATAGTATCTAGTTGCAACGACTTAGTTATCTCGCGGCCACGACTTAGTAACTCGTGGCAACGACATAGTGAATAAGGGGTCAAAATGTCCAGTCACTTTAAGTGGTCTAAGTGTCTTAGGGGTCTAAGTGTCATGGGTCGAGATGTCTTAGGGGTCGATTTGTCAAGGAATCGAGATGTCATAGAGTCATCTCTACTTGACCGTAGACAAAAAGGGACACAAATATTTCTAGCATGTTTTTTTTTTTTTTTTTTTTGGGGGGGGGGGGGTTTACGTCAACATCGTCACAGTATAATCATATATCGCGACGTTCCAGCTTTACTGGTGGGAGGAAGACCTCAGGTGCCCCTTATTATAATAATAATAATAATAATAATATTAATAATAATAAAGACTTTATTTAACGAGAGAACTCATTTGAAACAAAAATATCAATCTTCCATGAGGCCTCAACAGAGGAACAATATAAATTTAACATATTCAAAACTATTAAAATACATAAATGTAAAAACATACAGGAGATTATCAATTTGTATACTTCAATGTGTGATAACCTCACGTATAAGGGTTTTAAAATGGTTAACAGATGTAGCAGACTTAATATAATCAGGGAGGCGTTCCCAATACAAGTTCAGAATAAACAAAAGACTTACGAAATTGTTCAGTATTTGGTCTAGGGGTATAGAGTTGAAAATCAGATGAATGAACGCAAAATGCGAGTATTAACATCTGACGAAAAATGAATTTATTCAATAAATAGGAAGGCGCCTGATTTATTCATTATTTTAAACATCATAATGGCTTTTTGAAAAACAACCCTCTGTGAAAAGGTCATCCAGCGAGTTCAAAAAAATGTTCAGGCAGATGGAGTGTCATAATCTGTGTCTAGATTAGTCTTGCAGCTCTCTTTTGGAACTTAATGAGTTTATCTTCTAGAAAAAGACGTACAGTTAACCGTAAATTATGCAACAATAATCAAGATGTGGTAAAATATATGCATTGTAAAACATTTTACGTACAGGTATAGATTATGAATAATTTTTATACGTGATAATAAATGTAACATTGAGTTACACTTTTTAAGAACATTATCAATATGGCTTTAATGCCAAGACAAGAAGCGTGTTATTAATTGTAATACGAATATATTGCATAGGCACGTCTCATACCAATAATGGGTTCTATTCGTTTTCTTCAAAACATCAGACAGCTACAATAAAAATTTGCTCTGTTTTAGTTTATATAAATCACAAGGATTACTGTTCATGAATATAATCTTTGCTTGTGTTTTTGAGGAAATATACATGACCTTAGTTTTGTTAACATTGATAGACCATGCGAATTCAAATCACACCATTTGTTGGCATTTTTTAAAAGATCATGAGTAAGAGATTCAACTACATGTACTCTGTTTAGGGATACATCAGAGGTATAAAGGGTGGTGTCATCAGCAAAAATATCAGTTTCCGTGCATTATTTCAGACACGAACGGGCACCTGAGTAGAACCACCGACGTTTCGTAAGCTAGCTGGATAGCTAGCTGGATAGCTTCCTCACATGAAAGAATCCAAAGTCCCTGTCGGGATTCGAACCCACAGCGGTGAGGGGCAAGTGGTTTCTAGCATGTAGCAAGAAACAAGACATTATTGTGAGGATCATAGAGGAAGCCTTATTTGCTTCAAAATGCTACACTTCTATTTTCTTAAGAAGTTCAAACTGAGTTTGTAATTTCCCAGTCGCTCCGTTTTAAAATATAAACTCATTTCGATTTTCGGAAACTGAGTGCAATTGCATAAAAAAATATTGGAAAAAAAACCATTGAATATTTCACACTTCAAATAAAATGTATTTTATAAAACACCATTAAAAAAGAGAGAATAAGAGAATCCCTAAAGAAAGCCAACACGGCCAAAACTGAAAATGTTGCAGCTCGGTTTAATTGAGCCTGTTCATTGACGGTAAACTGCCAAGTGCAAACTACCGTCCACGCTCCCCTAGCACCGGCTTAAGCAGAATTCAACATTTAACATTAACTGGTAAATTTTGAATTTTTGAAGCATCCACAGATGTGTTCATATGGCGGTTATCATGGAACCTTCAATGTCAACACACGTAAGTGCCATTCCATGAAAGAGCGGCATATGGTCCCCAAGTAAAAAAATGGTTTTGTGCGCCTAAACGAGAAAAAAATGGGCGGAACTTGAATAAAAATGGAATTTTGGAAAAAGGATCAGAGGTTGTGAAGCCTGCATATCATAGATAAGACGTCAAAAGACAAATTATTAAAAAACAAGCCACATATCCTAGGGTGATTCAACAGTATTCAAGCATGGGGAATACTGGAACCACCCACAAGAAAATAGCCGAATAGAAATAACTAAATTACCACAAGCTCAAGAATTATGTGCTTAACGATCTTTAAGGATCGGAAATATAACATTCCTGATTGAATGTACGGGGCGACATCTTACAGCCTCCAAACGGCACAAACAACGCTCGATGTGGCGATAAAATAGAGAAAATAAGAATTAAGGTCAATATTAACGATTAAACAAGGTTCTTCTTCGAAAGTGTTGAGTTGCTTTGTTGTCGGCGATGAGATCGACTCTAAATTTATCACATTTCCGCTTTTGCTGGAGGATTTACTGTAAAATATGTTATTTAAGTGATTATATTTTTCTTAGATGTAAATTATGCTTGAGAAATCGGTGAAGTATTAAGTATCCTATTCCATATTACTTTCAAATTTGTTTAAAATGGTAAATGATGCTAAAAACTCAATCCCGAAAATATCTGTACCTTTGGAAAGGATGAACATTATAAACTCAAAGCATCAAATTGTTTTCTTACCAGATTGTGGAATATCCATTCATGAAGAGGCAATGTTGAGTTCAAGAATTTCAAAGGGATCTGAAGCACCTCCAAAAATGTACCCATGGCATGTTACATTCAGATCTACGGGAGTAAGTACAACGATATATTATTAAGAATGTGTAAAGTGTAAAACGTAAAATATATAATCTTTTAAGAGAAAAAAATGCCACATATAAATTAAGGTATTATTTTTTATATCTGTGTAGCTCACTTATAATAAATATCCAAGCAGAAATAAACCAGAGTTTCCACAATTGGCTTACTGAGAAAAAACATAAACAAAACTTTTAAAGTTATATTAAGGTTATTAATTAAAAAAAGGTTTTATAAAAAAACAGCTCATGATTTCTTTATTGGTATGACCTTTGTAGGAAGAATCGCAGTCAAATATTTGAGGATCTTTGCCGCGTAAGCGTACTCTGCTTTTGTATTTCCATAATATTAAGTAATTGATAGTTTGAATCTTTATCATTCTTAAATAAGTCGAGAAAAACTCTACTGAGTTAAGACTTTTTCCATTGCTTACTTATGATGCAATCATATTTCAGTGGTGTTTAAAGCTTATTTTTAAATTACGCCGTAGAATAGAAACGAAGCGAAACCTTTTCCACTGTGTAAATTAAAACTGCTTGTGTTTTGTAAAATCATGCTTAGCAACTGACAGTATGTTGGAAATCTTACCATATCCGTTTTTACGTTTACTATTAAAAATGTTACCAGGGATTTAATTAATGCAAAAAAGTGACAAATTCAGACTCGATTTGCTTATTTTATATTGGCGTATACATAGATAACTTTATTTTTATGGTGCTAATCGAACAAGACCGTTCGAATCTGCAACTTAACATACGATATATACGGTCAGGCCTTCGGCACATCCCATTATAAGGGTTGCACATATTAATTAGCCGTGGTTTTTATTATTCTGGCTAATTATTAGTAGCCGGAACAGCCGGACTAGACAAACAAACCTGTGTTCCGGTCGCTCCGGATGTTCCGACTGTCTCGCTAATTTTACGGAGATATCGAATCATTTATTGTAAATTTTAACAGTAAAAATTTGCATAACCAATATTAAACACATAATTAGTGTTATCATCATTTTTCTAGTGTATGTCTGCAGAAATAAACATCTCTTTTCATTGCTTTTTTATAAGAGAAACATATGTACATGTAATTCACTCCAGAAATTATATAAATGGCAGTGCATTGTTTATTTTCTGTAGATGATGATTCTATAGCCTTGAAACGTTATTAACAGACTTCGTTTAAAAAAACAATGCTCTCAAAATGTAAACCAAAGAAGAAAAACATTGATATTGTACGATTTTAAATTTGTTCTTTATCTCATTTTAACTATTTGCCCTTTAAAAGTTTCTTGCAGAACTTTGAAATCCTTTGTACGAAGGGTCCAAAATGAAAACAAAGTTATGAAACTGCATTGGAAAAGATAACAATTTCATGGGTGAGAATATCCTTATGTGGGAAACTCTATTCAAAAGACGTGTAAGGACAGGTGACATTTGCTTTTACAAATTATTTTAATATTTTTATTTTTTTAATAAAAATCTGGAAACAAAAAGATCCCTCGGAAACATTAATAACAACAAAATTACAAGAGAATTGCAGACTGGGTTTGATTGAGATTGTACATGAGGGATAATTAATACGTGCAACATCCCTCACGCCCCCTAGTACCGGCTTTAGCGATAATCAAATCTCAACAATCAATAGCCCCGGCATCAATTATCCCGAAGGACCAGAAAAATATAACAACACTGAAGTGAAATAGGGGGCAACTTTTAACAGCTGCCACACAGCACTTGACACCTGCAGTTGTGCAATATAAAAATACTCTTAGGTTAAGGTTCAGGTATGAGATTGAAGAGATGACATCATTTTGAGGACAGTTGCAAATAAAAACGAAAAATTTGAAAATTTACCGCAAAATTAATTTCAACGCAAAATCATTGCATGGCATGATTTCATGTTTTTTTTCTTCCTTTTTGTGTTGGGGGGGGGGGTAAGTAAGAGAAAATTCATTAAAACGCTATAATGTAAAAAAAGGGATTGTAAAATCCTAAATAATACGTGTTCGTTTCAGAAAAAAGCATAATGTCGTCCTTTTTGTACATTTTTTGAAAGGCTTGTTCATAAGCGGATTACCGTTGTATTGGTAAGGCATTTCTTTTAGGGGATTCCCTCCATTTGCATGAATTAATTAAAACTAAAAATAAAGTTAAAAATACTACAAAAACTAAAGAATTAAATTTAAAACTTAAATTTATTTCTAAATTGCAAGGATGCGTCCAGAAAAAAGGTGTTTTGTGGTGCGGACATTGATTTCACAGAGTTTCGTTGTCACTGCTGCTGCATTGCATTGAGGGATTCAGCAAGGTCTTTGGTGTTGATTTTGAGGCAAAATGTAGAACTTTTACTAGGTAATATAATTAGTTCGTTAAAAATTATGTAATAAATGTTTAAGTATAAAAATAAAATTTGAATTTTGTGGGCAATATTCAATACAATAAATAACAAAAATCTAATTGGACACCAGGGACATTTTAGTAGGTTCTGGCGCATTGTTTTCTCGTATTAGGGGCATAGCATTCATTAACTTGGGGACATATAGGTCGTTTAATATGGAATGACACAAACGTGTCACATTGAAGGCTCAATAATAACCGCTGTAGGAGCACATCTGCGGATGTTTCCAAATTCAAACTTTCATCAGTTCTATGTTTAAATGTTGCATTCTACATAAAACTTTGCTAAGGGACATGGACGGTTACTTCAACTGTCCAGTATAGTCCATGAACTGACCGTTTTTATTAGCGTTTAATGCGTTTTTTAGGGATACTGTTGTTTCTCATTTTTTATTACTAATTTTATTTATTAAGTGGTGTACATTTCATTGTAAAAATTATGGCTTGTTTAGTAAGTATTATGTATTGGAGAGCAAGCTTGTAATGTGATAACCCTCTTGTATTTTTATGTAATCTTTCGGCAATGCGTAGTTTACAGCAATCATATAATAATAATATAGCAACCATTTGAGGCAATAACACGATACAAATATTTAAATCCCATAATGAATTTGTTTCAGGTTTATGCACTTGAAACCCATTTCAAACCTTTACTTTTCAAGAACCATTATCGTCTGTTTACATCAATAATTTTGAGCGTTTGAATTTTAATTAAGAAAAACACAAATAAGCTACTTCATTTTTTAAATAAGATTACCTAAATTTCTTCTTTTTTCTGATATTAATTAAGGTACCACAGATTGTCTAGGAACTCAAAATGATGGGATCAGAAGAACCTTACGAAGTTTTACTGTTCATCCAAATTACGAAGACAGAGGAGGTTATGATAATGATATAGCACTGATAGAATTGGATAGACTGGTTGAATACACCGATGATATACGTCCTATATGTGTTGAACCGGCGGAATACAATGACAGGGTGTTTCTAGAAAACAGTAGCTCCTTCGGTCGCGTGATTGGGAAAGTCGCTGGCTGCGGTTCAACAAGATCTAATGGCAGATCGATGCCCCAGAGACTGAGGGTAGTTATTAAACAGTTGTTTACAGATGTAAAGCTGTCATGGTTTACGAGTGTTACTTTGCTGCTTTTTTTTAAATATAAAGACGTTTTTGATCGCAGAATGAGTTATGAAAAAAAACATATTCCAAGATTTAAAGATCCTGTTACTCAATTTTTAATGATTTTATATCATAAATATAATGCTCAAATGAAGATTTATCAATATTGTAAGTTCAAAAAAAGCATTATTTGTAAAAATATAACCGATTTACATTTCATGTTTTTAAAGTGAGGTCATTAGAAATTTATTTTCTATAAAGTCTAAGTCAATTTTTTCAATAAGAAATGAATGCATATTTTTTAATGATTACGTATAATGTAGACAAATATTTGCAGTACATGTTTTACTTATTCTTCATGTTTGAAACTTGATTTAGAAGCATATATGCATGTATAAAAGTGTGGTAACAACCTTCTATATTACAACATACAGGATCATTAAGGGATCATATGAAAGTACAGTCTTTCTAATGTAAAAGACTAACGTGATATATTCAGGTTAACGTTGATGTGCGTTTGTGTATAGGAATTGAAAAAAAAATCTATATATCAATGACAGCAATGCATATTAATGTACTGCACCTGTCAAAAACAATTGAAAAATAAATATTATTTATTTATTGCTGAACAGGTTTAAGATCGGATTACATCGATCAGTACCGAAACTCAGCAACCAACTTTCACAGTGCTATTAACAAATACGTTCATACCTAAACAAAAACCGTTCCTGTCATTAAATACAAACGAACATAAAACCATAACTATCATAGAAACACAATTCTTATTTGTATGTTTAAATGTTAAATTGTTTAAAAACATCAACGATGACAAAGTAATATATTAAATGATGAATGGAATTACTTATATTTTGATGTTTTAATTTGAATTTCAAAAGTATTTTTATTAAGTTAAAGTCTTGTTGTTCATATTTTTTAGTTTAAGGCATTTTATAACAGAGAACCATGTCTTGAATCAATGGGCAATGAACGCCATAGACTCACAGACACAATGCTTTGTGCTCGGGTTGCATTCATTGAAAGTCATCCTTTCTTAATTTTCTTGTTTTTCATATTTTTTAGTTTAATGCATTTATAACATTTACCTATTTCATATTATAGGATGTATATATTCCGTATGTGGACAGAATAACATGTCTTGAATCAATGGGCAACGAACGCCATAAACTCACTGACACAATGTTTTGTGCTGGGAGTAATGTAAGTATTATATATTTGCAAGAATTGGTTTCATTACATCGAGCATACTCTAACGTTGAGTACTTCTGTTTTGCTTTGAAATATAATGAGAATTGTAAGACAATTGATGGAACAGGGTAAAGTGTGTATAGGACACGTAGTGTATTAATCTGATAGCCTAGAAATGTTTAACATTAATTATATTCATTTCTCAAAACACTCATTAACATTTCGGATGAAACGAAAACATAAAAATAATGATATTATCTGGCAAATGAACCAATATTTGTCGACATTTTCTATTTCTTTGCAAAAGGTATAAAAAATAAGCACAATAACGTTCATGTATTTTTTAATGTTTAAAGTTTAGCTGCCTGGCAAAGATTCATTAATTTATCATAATTAACCATCTTCTTAAAAGAGACACCGGTAAAACAGTTTTTTCTTCTAACTGAATTTTCAATCAGATATTCTATTTATGTCCTCGAAATGAACACACCAAGCAGTTCTAGGTGCAAAGATTTTCTCCTCTTGAGATATCCTAAGGTGGGTCAGGTGAGAAGATTTAAGGCTTAACGCTTAATATCGCAGTGAGCCATTGGAACGGAACAAAACCCATCATGTCAAAGGCCTACATTTGTTGTACACTTAAACTATATTCTAAGTTTGTTCTTGTAACCTCCGAGGCTTGTTCTTGTAATGCAAGGTACATAAACATAATTTGGTGATTCTGTTTGCTTTTAAATTTAATTTAACAAGCAACAATGCATTACATTTCAAAATACTAATATGTTTGAAATTATTAAAAGAAATCATTGTATGCGCGAGTTGGGTAAATAAAATCAATATTATTTTTTTAGCATTATCCTATATGTGGCTCCATTTTAAATGTTTATATTTGTTTTACACTTAAACTATATTCCAAGTTTGTTCTTGTAACCTCCGAGGCTTGTTCTTTTAATGCAATGTACGTAAACATAATTTGGTGATTCAGTTTGCTTTTAATTTTAATTTAACAAGCAACAATACATTACATTTCAAAATACTAATATGCTGGAAATTGTAAAAAAAACTCATTATATGCGCGATTTGAGTAAAAAAATCAAAATATTTTTTAATCATTCGCCTGCATGTGGCTCCCTTTTAAATATTTATATTTGCCAGTTTTTTTTTTGTTTTTGTTTTTTCTTCCCAACTAAAGATTGCTAGAACTGGGGACAGTTGCGAAGGAGACAATGGAGGCGGCTTAATTATGGCAACGAGCGCAAGATGGGTTCTTACTGGAGTCGTTTCTTGGGGAAGGGGATGTGATGTGGATAAACACTACGGTGTTTACACAAACGTTGGCATGTTCTATGATTGGATAGAGAGTGTTACAAAATTTAACGAAGAGGAGGTGCCAAACTTTATCAATCTTAATTGAACTTGAATAGTGCACACATGCTGATATAGGATGAACTAGAATATTACTCATTTACTATTGACTATTTACTATTTTTATATTAATAGGCGCAATATATTACTAATTAACGTGCATGCTTTGCTTAAGATGTTTAACTACGTGTAAACGTTATTTTCTGTTTCACTATGGATGAAATGAATAAAATATGTTTCATTACTAGTATTGCTTTTTAGTTGATACAAACTTATTTTTAGTTCGATTGGATACTATAAGCTTATTCTCGAATCCGTCTCTGGAACCAGTCAGTACTTAGGAATAAATTTAAAATTTCTTGCTAAAGGAAACAATAGCTTGCCCCTAACAGGATTTGAACCCGCAGGTCAGCAATCCAGAGTACTAGTCCGTGCGCTAACCTTTTGTCCAAGCCGTCAATCTTTTCCTTGATATTGTTAAAACAGGTCAATTTACACATCGTTCTTTAAAAAAGTCATTGATGTTTATTCATATGTGTAACTTACAGGGAGAAAGGACAGGGAGAACTTAAAAAAACATGAAAATCTGAAGGATACTTCATCTTCAAACAGTTTTTTTTTTTGTTTTTTTTTTTTTTTCAGGCCCCGAAGGTGACCCCATTTATTGCCTCCGTCGCATGACTATTTAAGGGTCGAAGGTCCATCCCTTAACAGTCTTACAATAATGTGTTAAAACATGAAAAGTTAACATAGTATTTACATAATGTAATTTACGGCAAAACTTTTTTTTTTGAAAAATTGAATATGTAAAGGAGGTTATAAGTTCAAGATATAGAAAAATATTACTAAATCTACATTATGCCTTAAACAGAAAACATAATTACTTTTTCTATATTTATGAGTAATACACAAACTAATGATACTAATGGGGTTAGCTAGGAGGCTTGACGATAGAATAAATAGACATACGAAAAAGGATGATTATTTACAAACATCTTATCTTCAAACAGTTGGTGCATTATTAAATTTTAAAGAAATAAAGTTTATACGATATTATTCAAATATGCTTCAAATACAAGAATGTGTTTTAAACGTTTAATCATAATATTACATAGTTCGCATGGCTTTGTTATCATAAACCTAAATTACATGTAATGTAGTTGTCAGGCAATTAAAGGCGAACGACAAATTTCATACGTGAAGATATCTACAATATTTTTTTTTATTTATTAAAATCTATAATTACCGTTTCTATAAAATTGTGTTAATTTAAAATACTTCTTAAGATAAATGGATCTAGGAACATCTTCATGACAAAGTCAATTATGATCATAATCTTTAACGTTATTAGCTCACCAGAGCCGAAGGCTCAGGGTGAGCTATTAGTATCAAAGGGGGATGCTCCGGCGTCCGTCGTCCGTCGTCATGCGTCAACAATCGTCTTCTTCTCTGAAACTACAAGGCAGATTTACTTCAAATTTGGTCTGTAGCATCCTTGTGATGTCACACTTGGATTTGCTCATGTCATTCCAATTGGCCCCTTTAAGGGGTCAGCAGAGCTAAAAATAGAAAAACCTTTAAACATCTTCTTCTACAGAACTAATTGATGGATGATAACCAAACTTTGTCTGTAGCATTCTTAGGTAATCTTTTATCAAGTTTGCTCATATTAATTTGATTGGCCCCTTTTAGGGGTCACTAGGGCTAAAAATAGAAAAACCTTTAAACATCTTATTCTACAGAACTAATGGATGGTTGATCACCAAACTTTGTCTGTAGCATTCATGGGTAGTCTTTTATCAAGTGTGCTCATATGAATTTGATTGGCCCCTTTTAGGGGCCGCTTAAGCTAAAAATAGAAATACCTTTAAATGTCTATTTCTACAGAACTAATTGATGGATGATCACCAAACTTTGTCTGTAGCATTCTTAGGTAGTCTTTTATAAAATGTGCTCATATAATTTTTATTGGCCCCTTTTAGGGGTCACTAGGGCTAAAAATAGAAAAACCTTTAAACATCTTCTTCTACAGAACTAATGGATGGATGATCACCAAACTTTGTCTGTAGGATTGGCCCCTTTTAGGGGCCGCTTAAGCTAAAAATAGAAATACCTTTAAATGTCTATTTCTACAGAACTAATTGATGGATGATCACCAAATTTTGTCTGTAGCATTCTTAGGTAATCTTTGATCAAGTTTGCTCATATTAATCTGATTGGCCCCTTTTAGGGGCCGCTTAAGCTAAAAATAGAAATACCTTTAAATGTCTATTTCTACAGAACTAATTGATGGATGATCACCAAATTTTGTCTGTAGCAATGTTGGGTAGTGTTTTATCAAGTTTGCTCATATTAATTTGATTGGCCCCTTTTAGGGGTTTCTAGGGCTAAAAATAGAAAAAACCTTTAAACATCTTCTTCTACAGAACTAATTAATGGATGATCACTAAACTTGGTCTGTAGCATTCTTGTATAGTCTTTTATCAAGTTTGCTCATATTAATTTGATTGGCCCCTTTTTAGGGGCCGCAATAGCTAAAAATAGAAAAACATTTAGACATCTGCTTCTGCAAACTAATTGATGGATGATCACTAAACTTTGTCTGTAGCATTCTTAAGTAGTCTTTTTATCAAGTGTGCTCATATTAATTTGATTGGTCCCTTTTAGGGGCAGCTATAGCTAAAATTAGAAATACCTTTTAATGTCTGATTCTACATAACTAATTGATGGATGATCACCAAACTTTGTCTGTAGCATTCTTATTTAGTCTTTTATCAAGTGTGCTCATATTAATTTGATTGGCCTCTTTTAGGGGCCGCTATAGCTAGATATTTGGAGCAACTATAGCTTAAATGCCCTGGGCCATGGCATTTCTTCAAAATATTGTTTAATAATGAAAGGAAAATAACTCATGTTGGAATGTTTCCATTTATGTGTACATGGATACATGTGAACTCTCCCAATTGGAGCGGGAGACACCTTCTTTCTCCTGTCAAATTTTTAAAATATTAATATTTTTCTTAGAGTAAGGGGTGTTAATAAAGAAATTTCCCTTCTTTTTCATTTCAAAATTTCCTGTCAATTAAAAAATCTCCCTCTTTTTTTGAAGTAAATTCTCCCTCTTGAAAAAAAGTTTACATGTATGTACATGCTATGCATAAAAAAAGATTTAATGTCTTAATGTTATGACCTGTTTGCTTTACAGAGATCTGAGGTCAATGAGCTTTGTATATTTCTGTTTGTGCTGGGAATTGCATCATTCTAAGGTTCATTTGTAGGTCAATCTAGAGAATTTTCCCCAAGGCCTAAAGTAATGCTTCAAATGTTTCTCATACCTTACTAACTTAGAGAAAGCACATTTCAATAAATATAGGGACACACTGTTACCACCACCACTATGCGGACCACCACCACCATGCAGACCACCACCACTATGCGGACCACCATGCGGACCACCACCACCATGCGGACCACCACCACCATGCGGATCACCACCACCAACATGCAGACCACCACAATGCGGACCACTAACATGCGGACCACCACCACAAAGTGGACCACTATCACCATGCTGACCAATAACATGCGTACCACCACCACCATGCTGACCACTTCCACAATGCAGACCACTAACATGTTGACCATCACCACAATGCAGATCACCACCAACATGCGGACCACAAACTCCATGCTTACCACCCCACCATGCGGACCATTACCACCATGATGACCACATTCACCATGCAGACCACCACCATGCGGACCACCAACTCCATGCTGACCACCACCATGCCCACCATGTGGATCACCACTGCCATGTGGACCACCGCCAACATGCGGACCACTACCAACATGTGGACCACCATCATGCTGACCACCACCACCTTGTGGACCACCACCACCATGTGGACTGCCACCACCATGTGGAACACCACCACCATGTGGACTTCAACCGCCATGAGGACCACCGCCAACATGCGCACCGCCACCAACATGCGGACCACCACCACCATGCGGATCTTCACCACCATGTGGACCGCCACCAACATGCGGACCACCACCATGCGGACCACCACCACCATGGGGACCACCACCAACATGTGGAACCGCCACCAACATGTGGACCACCACCACCATTGTGGTCCACCACCACAATGCGGACCGCCACCACCATGTGGACCACCACCACCATGTGGACCTCCACAGCCATGAGGACCACCGCCAAACATGCGGACCACCACCACCATACGCATTGATATATAAAATATTTAAATTGCGTATATATATATATATATATATATATTATATATATTATATTATATATATATATATATATATATATGTATCAGATATTCATAATATATAGACAAAAAAGTAATGTGACAAGACAGACCGATTAAATTTATAAAAAGGAAACCTTTTAATTTGTTCAAACATTTCTTTGTTTGCTTTTAAGAAAAAAAGTAAAAAGTCGAGCTTTGCCCCAACCTGGTGGTGGCTCTTTATTCTTTGTGTTATTTTAGTATTAGTTTCAAATACACATTTTGCAAACTTGGTTATCACTTGTTGAAAGTAATTTTGCACTGTTTCATACAAGTGTATGTAAAGTTGTTTGCATGTTCACTGCAATACATTTCAATCAAAACAACAGTTTGCCCCTTTTTCCTCTATGTAGTTAAAGCATACAATTTTTTCCCATTCTATTAAAGAGAAAGATAATAACCTGAAATGTTAACTTTCTGGTCAAGTTGACTAGTAGTAGTATACCTATCTTATCTTAAATAAATATTGACCGGTGGTGTTCATCCTGACAAACAGTATACATGTATATTTAAATAATGAGATTATAAGATTATTATTTTTTAGTTAATTAAAAAAAAGAAACAAATTGTATCACAAATTAATGGATGGATGATCACCAAACTTGGTTCCTATAATTTTTACTGGCAAGAAAAAAAATTCAGTGTTGGGAAACCTTATAACTAGAGAGGCAAGTTGAAGTTGACCTGGACTTGTCTTTCTACAAGTTTATTTTTTTTTTTTTTTTTTGAAATGTTTCTATAATCACTGAAAAACAGTTGTTTCTGGTGAGAGATTCAGGGCCATCATGGCCCTCTTGTTTAGATTTACTTCGCAAAACCCTTCCAATTCCCGCCACGATTATAATGTGTTTGTACTTATGTTTGTGTATATGTATAATCATATACAAGGAAAGTTTCCATGACTACTTTTTAATAATATGTTCAATATTTATATATATTGCAAACCTACTTCTAGCATCATGCAAATGTTTTATACTGAACTAATCATTTGTCGAAGATCGAAAAATAGGTTGATTATTTCCACAGTTTGTATTAAAACTGAACGGGAGATTGTCATAATATACACAGGCTGATCACAACTACCATACAAAACAAAGCACATCTCAGTACAAACTATTTAACATTTAATTTACAAAAATAAATGAATATTTATAATGAAAGTAAATGATATGAATGAATGAATAGGAATAAAGAAATAAAAGTTCCGTGTCACGTTTCTAATGTTCTGTCGAATAGCTTAAAAACTTTACACAACAAGAATGAATCTGTCTGTCATAATGACCTTGTGCGTCTTTAAACATCTATTTGCGAGTCCCAAAGAAGATTTAAAATTCGTTCATTATATAGGCATAGTTACACTGAGTGGAACGCTTGAAATATAACTTTCACGATTTTCTTGCATTCCAGAACACATGTTTAACAAAATATACAGGCCCGTTATATCAATTTTAAAGAACACAAATAATTTTGCACTTTATCACAAAATTCTAACTTTCTTATTACTGGACCGAATTTTATGAAAAATATGTCAAAATGCTTGAAATGATACCAAGAAATCTAAGCAATCAATAAGAATACTGAAATAAGCAATTTATCTCGATAGATCTGAATTTTACAAAAAAGATGATACAATAATTTACATTGGATTTAGTATAAAACTGAGGTTCGGACTACAAAAATCAAAGTACTGAAAGCCTTTCTCAGCATTTACGAATTAGTTTTCTTTGTGAGAGATAAACATTGCAGACGAATTAAGCCCTGATTTAGAATATCTCTTACTTTGATGGTTTCTGCTGTGTAGTTATCATAATTTAAAAATTATAATTAACCATCGCCATTTGAGAAGTGTTGCAAAATTATATGTAAAAGTATTATTTTGTTCAATACATTTGAATCATGTTCTTAAAACATATTTGTAAGGTTAAAAATATATATGCACAGTAAAAATATATATTGACATTAATTAATATATAAATAGCACATGGGTATGTAGTTAACAGTAAAAATATCACCCCTAAGAAAATACTGTTACCCGTAAAGCCTCGGGAAACAGTATTTTCACGAGGGATGATATTTTTACTGTTACTCACCAACCCATGTGTAATTTATTTTAATACCCCGAACAAATCATTTGAACATTTCAATTCAATCTACCGGTAACACAATTGAACCATGTGTAACAATAACTCAACCATCCTTTCTTTGCAAGTTGAAAAAAACATGACCAAATTTTTATACTATTAAAAAGTACTGTTACCCTGTAACAGTACAAATGTCTTAGTCACATGGTACATTTGCTTTAACTGTAAGAATAACTCCCAGTGATCTATGGGAAACTTTCTTTACAAAAACGTGATATACTGGTAAGTTAAGTTGGTGTAAGCTGCGATCCTACTGCAAAGAAGCTGTTCAGCTCTTGATTGAAGATATTCCAAAGACAAACCGGGATCGGGCAAAGGTTTAAAATCTGCCTGTGTTGCCAACTCCCTGAATTTGGTTAACTGAAACCGAGAAAGAGCATCGCAAATTCCATTAGAACGGCCATGGACGTGGTTGCCTTTAATTACAATGTTAAGATTTAGACACCCTAACGCTAGACACCTGACCAGACACATTACTTGCACTGATTTCGATGATAATGTATTTATTATCTGAACTACTGCCATGTTATCGCGGTTAAATCTGATTTGTTTAACAAATTCCGAGCACAAATTATATAACGCAACCAATATAGGAAATAATTCTAAAACTGTTATATCTGATGTAAATCTGCGGGTGTGCCCTGAGAGCACTGTCTGAATATAATTTAACATTTTCGATAGTAATCCAGAATTTGTCATGAAATACAGATATACCATTAGAATTTTTAAGACAATATAACAACATTTCTAGATCTAAGCGAATATCTTTCTTTATCCTTTTACGATGATATCATTTTTGTAAGACCGCGAATTGCATTTATTATACGGCGAATGACCCCTTAGGAGATTGCATCTTGTTTAAAGATGTTTTAGAATTTCTTTCATCTTATGCAACCTCATTAATCATGGACCTTGGGATACTGACAGTCATTTGATCAGAATTTAGCTCAAGCCCAAGAAACACCAAAACTTCCGACGGACCTTCAGTTTTTTTTTCATGTGCTATGGGAACCCCCAATTTAGCGAAAACCTCTTCAAAATGGCTTAGCTTACGAATGCACAGATCTGGCGTTTCATTTCAACCTAAAAGGTCGTCTAAATGATACAATAATTTACCCGATTTCATTTCTAATTTTACACAGAATTCAAAAAAAACCTAGCAAATCGTTCAAAGGTAATGCAGCTTATAGATGCTCCGAAGTGAAGAGCTTTATCAAAATAATATTTCTTGTATGGAATACAAATTAATTCAAAATCGAAAGACCTCACTGGTATTAATCTATTTGCATTTTTCACGTCAGATTTAAATAGTTTACAGTTGCTTGCACCAACTTGACAGCTTCGTCAAAACTTGTGTATTGAACAGTACAGAGTGTCGGGTCGATATAATCATTAATTGGTACACCAGAGGGATAAGACAAATGGTGAATCATTTTATATTCGCCGGGAGCTTTTATATTCGCCGGGAGCTTTTTAAGGAAAGCAATGGACGAATCGGGGAAATACTGGGCGTTGAGTGAATGGACCTGCTACCCTGCCTGCTTTGACTTATTTATTTATTTGCGATTGAATTATTTCTGGATAAAATGCTGTCGAGCGTAATTTTTCTGAGTCACGCGGTACTCTATGCTCTGAAAACTGAATAGAGAACCCGTGCATAAAACCCCTGATTCATTTTCGTCATAAAATAAACAAAAATATTTTAGACGTTCTACGTTGACTGGCGATTTCGCTAAATTTGAAAAATTGAACTTTCCAGCGACTACTAGTACTGGGATTGGCGGATCATTTTGTTTGTTGACCCCTTGTGCCACCCCTGAAGTAGTAAACAGCTGGCTTGGTGCAAAAATTGGCTGGGGTTTGACGATTGACAGTTCGTCAACAGAGAAAACTTGTTGCATTGGAACTCTGGATGAACCCCATCACATTTGGAACAATGATGAGAAAAATCTGCAATTTTACCACGTACATGAACCGTTACTAGACATTGCACGTGAATCTACGGGTATTAGACATAGCAGGAATTTGAGTATCCCTCACTTTATTAACAACTGGCGGTGCTGAAATTGTTCATCGTATGTGTTCTTCAGGCAGTACCACGTTGCCGTAAAGCACATTTCCTGATATTAAAGAGATAATGAAGCATTTCATGTACTTTATAAGGATGATTTTAGAGTTATATTGATAAATAAATGATAAATGCATTAGTCCATTTTTCTATTGATAATATTTTCTCTTTACATTCCTAATTCCCACTTTCAATTTGCCCGTCGGCGTTCAATTTGAGAAAACTTCCGTTGCAAAATTAGTAAAGTTCAACGGCGCCTTTAGCAGCAGAGACAAGTTTACGTATTCGCCTTTACAAATTTGTTGTAAGCGATGACGGGACAAGAGCGGCTAAATCATCACTTGCTAAGCGAATCAACTCAGAAGAGTTTGGCGCATTTGGTAGCAATGAATGCAAGAATGTTTGGATTCCGGCGGTCGTGAAGACAAGTTATGGCTTTAAGAGCAGCCACATCCCAACTGAACATTTTCATTAGAAATAGACTGTTTATTTTTATTTGATGGTTTGATACCCGAATCTAAAATAATTTGTTTAAAGTCAATTAAATTTTACCAACCAGCGTTATCCTGCAGGGACCTGATATCTCCACACCAATTTCTTCTGTCTTCTGTCTCGAGCCACGTGCTCCTTGTCTCAAAAAACAAGCTTCCTCTGCGCTGCGCTTTCGCACCCCCCCCCCCCACCACCACCTTAAACTTGTCGAATCAATTCGTAGGCGTTCGTCAATGACCAATCTACCCTGATTCACCGCTCTTTTTCTCTGTCTAAGCATGTTGAGTCGTCGATTTAGACTAGCTTACTGAGATATCTGCACAGTATTTTAAGGCTTTATCAACTTTTATACTTGAGACCATTCCTCAACACCCCTACGTAACACGCGATAATTTAAACGGGAAAGAAACATATGAATGAAGCGAAATGTGTATATAAAACGGGAAAAAATCACATGAATATTCTCAAACTTAATAAATGAAATGAGTTTTATACAAAATAATGTATATTATTACAAATAAATACAAAAGGTATTCGGTCGACTATATTTATAAATCCCGCGCTAAGTCGCGGTGGTGTTTGGGATGTTTACTACATACAGGTTATCGATTTACTATTTGCAAACTTTTTCTGTCCGTCGTAGGGGATGTTTGTTTGTTTTTATTCAATTTTGCTAAAACCATCACGTGATCAATATACATGAATGTGTGAATTTAATTTTCATTAAAGTTATGCCTTTCGTCGGAAATATAACAGTTTTATGTACAAATAGTTTGATAAAAAAACATAATTCCAGAAATATTAAAAATAATAAAATCATTGCAAAATAATGAATGCATATCAATTGTAAATTTGTATATGACAACTCACCCTTTACACAAAACATAATAGACTCAACCAAAACAAGCGTCTGCTTCTTTACCTAACTATGAAGTTGCATGGCCATGATTTGCAAACCAAATTTAAGAGCTAAACCTATTGTAAAAATAATACTATGACCACAGCAGAGTTCGTACATGAAAATATTTATAGACAATATTAAGAAAATAAATTAAATAATAATTGCTCATAAAATATATTAATGTTCTAAAAAAATTATAATGAAGTTAAAATATAGGACAAAAAATGGACAATAATAAAGAGAAATAAATTATATGTTAATTACATGTATATGTTAAATTTATGTTCTAAAACATATATTTTTGAGGTTAAAAATATATATGGACGATAATGAGAATTATAGGAAAGTCAAATTAAGTTTGTAATAGCCAATGTCATTGGTTTGTACATTCCAATATGGCAGCTCGTAGGAAAAGACGGAAAAGGCAAAGCATGAGTGGAGTGTACACTTAGCATATAAAGCATCGCCTTTAAAGCACGAATTTCTGATAAAGCGTTATCATCCTGATTCTATTACGTCATACACTACTCTCGTGCTCATATGAGATGCGCGCAAACCGTGACCGTGATTATTCAAAGCGCTATAAGATTTCGTCCTGTGCAGACGAATCTTTTTATCTACAGGTGCTGTAGAAATTTTTCGTGACCGTGCAGTAAACTTTTTATAGTCTCTAAGCCTAAACAAGCGTGCTTATTTCTTTTTATATACAACGTGGTTGTATTTTACATTTAAATTTTAGGCAACGAGGTTGCTTAAATATTGCTTGGTATTTTGAAATTTATATTTGTTTGCAATTTATTTGGTATCAAATATATAAAATAGATAAATACAGAATCCCTAAAGAAAGCCCAACACGGCAAAATTGAAAATGTTGCAGGCTCGGTTTGATTGAGCCTGTTCATGGACAGTACTGGAATGTGCAAGTTACCGTCCACGCCCCCTAGCACCGGCTTAAGCAGAATTCAACATTTAAACATGAAATAGTAAAATTTTGAATTTAGAAACATCCGCAGATGTGTTCATACGGCGGTTATCATGGAACCTTCAATGTGACACTTCAGTGCCATTCCATGAAAAGCGGCGTATGGTCCCCAAGTAATAAAAAGCGTGTGCCCTAAACGAGAAAACAATGGGCGGAACTAAATAAAATGGAATTTTGAAAGAGGATCAGAAGCCCAAGTGTTAGGGTTTGAGAATATATTTTTGTCAATCAGCTGTTCAATATGGCGGAAAGCATGTTGCAAGGAAATTCAACACACTTGCCAAGCAAAGAAATAGACAGTGCTTCGTTGAAGCCAAGTACTTCTGGTGTAAAACAGACTGAATCATCTTCCTGTAAGAAAGAAACATCAAAAAAGTCTGAAAAACAGCCTGTGAAAGCATCTGGGTCGTCTGTTAAGTCTAAGACCAACGTTTCATGTGATACTGAAGTGTTAAAAATTTTGCAACAAATGAACTCTAACATCAATAAACAGGGTCAAGATTTGAAAAATTTATCAGATAGAGTAGATTCTATTTATGATGACTACTATAATGCTCCCCAATATGCTCATGAGTATGAGTCATATGATGATGATCATGATGATGGTAGTTTTTGCCCAGACAGGTATAATAATACATGTACAGGTGAAAATGATGAGGATGATGAAAATTGTCCAAGACAGCTTCAACCTTTACCTAAGAAACAGAAGACATTATTTGAGGGTCTTTCTGATAAGTTCCTTCTTGCAGACAAGGTTGACACAAAAGTAAATGAAGATCTTGCCGAGCTTGTAAACAGATCATTTAGGAACGGTGTTCCTGAAGAGACGGTGCAAGAAATAATAAAGGGAATTTTGAGACCCCAAAACTGTGAATCCTTGACCAAAACAAGAGTTAATCCAGGTATGTGGAGATTGTTAAAGCCTCAAACTCAAACTGATGATGCTAAGATGCAGTTAATTCAGAATTGTGTTATTAAAGCCTCCATTAACATTGTCAAATTGTTGCATAAACAGGGTGATACTGATTCTGAAACATTCGAGTTGGGATCCAATGCTTTGGCGTTGCTGGGCCATTCTAACAAGCTTCTTAACAACAAACGAAAAGAATCCCACAAGAATGATTTTTATCCGAAATTCTTTCCTCTGACGTCGCCCAGTTTACCATTTACAGATTTCCTGTATGGAAATGAAACTGACATTAACAAGAATGTCAAAGATATACAAGACATGAGCCGAATTGGTAAAGTTGGTCGTGCTCCTCGTGGAAGAGGGTACAGAAATTTTCCGTACCGTAGAGGTGGTCGCTCATTGAGACGAGGTTACAGAGGTAGAGGGTTTAAGCCTTCTGAAACTGCATCATTTTCGAGTGCAGGTTATTCAAAAAACTTCAAGGAGGGGCAGAAGAAATAAAACAGGTTAGTCAAAAATTTGAAGCTGGTAGATTAAGATTTTATGAAGAAAATTGGAGAAAAATTACACAAGATGAAAATATTTTGGACATTGTGAAACATTGTGAGTATTGAGTTTTTGAATTCAGAAAATCCTATTCAAACACACTGTATTTCATCAAAATTCAGTGAGAGTGAGGCATTGATTGTAGATAATGAAATTCAAAAGTTACTTGAAATGAAAGTTATAAAAATGGTATTTCATCATTGTAATGAATTTATTTCTCCAATTTTTCTTGTACCGAAAAAGAATCCTGGTGAATACAGAATGATATTGAATTTAAAAAAATTGAATCAAAAAATAACATATCATCATTTCAAGATGGATACATTTGAATCAGTATTATATTTGGTTAAACCTGGTTGTTATATGGCATCAGTAGATCTTAAGGATGCCTATTATTCTGTATTCATTGCGGAAGAAGATCAGGTAAAATTGAGATTTGAGCATCGTGGTATATTGTATCAATACCAAGCATTGCCAAATGGTATTTCTTTTGCCCCAAGAATATTTACTAAACTCATGAAACCAATATATGCTTCGCTGCGTGTACGTGGGTACAAAAATTCAGGTTATATAGATGATTCCTTTTTATCTGGTGATACATTCTCAGAATGTGAACAAAATGTCAAAAATACAGTAAGTCTGATGACTGATGTTGGTTTCATGATAAACACTAAGAAATCTGTTCTTGTTCCAACAAGAAAAATCACCTTTCTAGGTTTTGAAATCAATTCTGAAAAAATGGTTGTAACCCTTCCAGAAACAAAAGTGTTAACACTATTGCAAGAATGCAAAGATCTATACAGAAAATATCAAGTTTCAATTCAAATTGTAGCTAGAATTCTAGGCCTGATGGTCTCAAGCTTTTCAGCTGTTGAGTATGGTCAACTTTTTTACAGAAAAATAGAAAAAGAGAAAATTCATGCATTAAAACTTCCGAAAGGTGACTATTCTTGTAAAATGTATGTAACAGATGAAATGAAAAGTGAACTGAAATGGTGGATAGATAATTTGTGTTCCCAAGAAAGGGTTATTGATCATGGTAATGCAAATTTAGTCATTGTGTCCGATGCCTCATCCTTAGGATGGGCTGGAATATGTGAGAATCAAGAAATGGGTGGTAGATGGACCACCACAGAGGCAGATCATCATATTTGTTTGTTTGGATTTTTACGGCACGTCAACACATAACTGGCCATATCGTGCCGAATGCTATAATAGGCTTTAAATGTTATGTTAAACTTTGTAAATGACAATAGAAATGAACCAATTAGAGCCTAGAATACAGGTTTATCTCTTTCAAATAATCAATTATGTTTTTTGATGGAATTGTATTAAAAAAGTCTTTGAGTGAATTTACAGGATAAAATCTATTACGGGCCTGTGACAAATCATGACATTCAAGAAGAAAATGCTTGACAGTAAAATTTTCATTACAACCTACACAGAAAGGGGCATTATCATTTGTAAGGATATAAGAATGGGTAATTTTAGTGTTTCCAATTCGGCATCGAAGAAGAACTGTTTGATCTCGGCGGTTTGACAGAGATAGAGATGGTGACACAAGAGATGGGTTTATATCGTGAAGTTTATCAAAAAACGGCTTTGTCCCAATTTGCTTTCCATTCAGATGATACGACTTTCTTTACAGCCGGTCTAATATCACAAGCAGGTAACAATAAGTCAGTTTTTTTGAAAATTTAATGATTGTTTCGCTAAAGCATCTACTTTTTTATTCCTCGTATACTTACATGACTTGGAATCCAATATAATTAAACAGATTTTGTTTTAAGTATAACAGATTTTGTTTAACGTATAACATGAAATCGTAAAAAAAGTGTCCTTATCATGACATTGTCAGATTTTTTATTTTTAATGGATATTAAAAACAGAAAGCGAGTCAGAAAATATCACAAATTTATCGTGGGTATGCTGTGCTATGTATGACAATGCTAAATCGATAGCTTTTGCTTCAGCAGTAAAAATTGATGCATTATCTGGTAACCTCATACTAGATGTAAAATTATTTTCAAACACAGCCGCACCTACTCTGCAACCTTCTTTTGAACCGTCCGTATAAATATGTATAAAATTTTCATGTTCTTCCTTAATTGCTAGAAACTTCTCTTTGAAATGTTCATGTGAATTTGATGACTTTTTTATATTTGAAAGGTTAATATTTATTTCAGGGGAATTATAAGTCCAAGGTGGAACATCCTCATCGTCATTTTGAAGGATACTGACAGGATTAATTTTAAGTTTATCTAAATCATCTTTTAAACGAAGGCCTAATGGTTTAATTTCATTTGGTTTGTTAACAAATTTTTCAATATAACTTGGTTTGAAAATAATATTTTTGGCTGGATTTTTGCTATTTGATGAAATTCTAGTTGCATATTGAAGTGGTAGCTTCTTTCGACGAAGTTGAAGATCATCATATAAATTATTTAGAGCTCCTAGCAGCTTATCTATCTGTTACAGCTTTCTGTAAAGATAAGTCTAACATACATGTCCAAGTACATTCAGATAACACTTGTACAGTAGCTAACATACGAAATATGGGCAGTTGTAGATCTTTAGAATGTAATGACTTGGTGCACAAACTTTGGATTTGGTGCATAGAGCGTTCAATTTGGTTGTCATCTACCCATATACCAGGAAAAAGTAATATTTCTGATAATGGATCAAGAAATTTTAAAGAAAATGTTGAATGGAAACTAAATGAAAAAATCTTCAGGGATATAACAGATCTCTGGGGATTACCTGAGATAGATATGTTTGCATCAAGATTAAATTATCAATTGTTAAAATATGTTTCATGGAAACCAGATGCAGAAGCATGTTTTGTTGATGCATTTTCTTTAGATTGGTCTAAAATGTTCATGTACATGATTTTCTGTCCTTTCAGTTTAGTGGGACGAGTTCTTCAGAAGCTGAGGCAGGACCAAGCAGAATGCATTATGTTGGTGCCACTGTGGCCAACCCAGAACAATCGTTTGAAGGTAGAAACATTTCAGAGGGGGCTGCCAACATTATCATGTCCTCATGGAAACGTTCAACACAAAATCAATACTCAGTTTACATTAAAAAATGGTTTCAGTTCTGTGATGAAAAACAAATTAATCCAGTTCAATTTACTGTAAATGTTATTTTAGATTTCTTGACAATATTATTTAAATCTGGACTGTCATATGAAAGTATTAATGCTGCAAGAAGTGCTTTATCAGCTCTAGGAATTGTGTTTGATGGTTTTATTATCGGAAAACACCCACTTGTTATAAGATTTTGTAAAGGTGTATTTAATATGCGTCCACCTCAAGCAAGATATAAAGAGACATGGGATGTTAGCAAGTCAATAGAGTATTTAAAATCTCTTACTCCAGTTCAGGATTTATCATTGAAGTTTTTAACTTTAAAACTTGCAATGTTAATTGCTCTTACTCAAGCTTCCAGAGCTCAGTCTCTACAACTGTTGTCAATTGAAAACCTAAGGAAAGGTTCTGATTTCTATGTTTTACATTATGTTTTTTATGTTTGGGGTCCGCCTGGGCTCCTTGCCATTGGTTCTTGTTGCTGGGTCATATGGGGGTTGCGTTCATTGAACGCCGCCTTTCCTTGTTGATCTTGTTTTTTATATTTTACAGTATAAAGGTTCATTGAAACAATCAAAGCCAGGATGGCGTGTACCATATGTTATGTTGAAAAGTTATCCAGACACAAGATTATGTGCTGTAAATACTTTGGCTGAATATATAAGTAGGACTGAATTATTACGTAATAATGAACAATCGTTATTTATAAGTTATTTGAAACCACATGCAGCAGTGACTTCAAGTACTATTAGTAGATGGTTAAAAACTGTTATGAGTTTATCTGGAATTGATATTTCAATATTTAAAGCTCACAGCGTCAGGTCGGCTTCAACTTCAAAGGCCAGGGCCTGTCATATTCCTATTCATGAAATATTGAGTGTAGCAGGATGGAAAAATGCAAACACATTTGCGCAAATTTATCATAAAGATGTTCAGCAAGAAAATGCAACTTTTGCACATGCTGTGTTATCTTGTTAATTCACCTGATATAAGGTGTGTGCTATGCTTAACTTTCCTATGGGACCAAAATTTTGTTCTGTTGCTTTAAAGTCTCATATGAGCACGAGAGTAGTGTATGACGTAATAGAATTCCCCCAATCAAACGAGACTTACCTGAAGTTGATGTTTGGTTGGAATTCTATGTAGTCATACAGCTACTCGAAGGGATCATATGCCCTCCCTTTAAGGTATATGTATTTCCCTCCCTAAATTTATGTCGTAAGCTTTACGATATACATTCAATTTATACATGAAGTATTGGTTTGTTGTTTAGACCAAAATTTTGATATTTGTGCTTTTAATACTGAATAATCACGGTCACGGTTTGCGCGCATCTCATATGATCCCTTCGAGTAGCTGTATGACTACATAGAATTCCAACCAAACATCAACTTCAGGTAAGTCTCGTTTGATTGGGGGAATTATAATAGACTATAGTGCAGTGGAAATGATCAGTGTCACTGTGAATGTCACTGGTAAATAGTTCATATGCTTAATTTAATCCTCCTTATCAATATATACGTATATGAAATAAATTTTAAAGTCTTCAGGACATACATTTGTATAATAAAAGCTTTTCATTTATATTCCTAATAATTTAATCACCATATGAACCTATGTGAGGAAATCACGTAAGATAACTAAAGAATCATCTGAAAATACAAATACTCTTGTTCATGTGACATATATATGAGGAATTACCATGTACCAAGGGATCATCTACATGAACATATTTTCGCAAGCACATATTCGTATAATACGCAACAGACTGGTTCGATTGCACAATGGGAATCAAACAGGGATGCAATTTTTCACCGTTAATTTTTATGTATTTTCAAATGACTTAAAGATATGATCAAGGTTTGCAGATAAGAAAAGAAAAAGCCTTCATTCTGCTGTATGCTGATAATATTGTAATGATAGCAATTTAGAAACTAACTTACAAACCATTTTAAACATTCTGCAAGAATGACGATCGATACTTTAATACATAAAATGTACATCACTGTGCAATCTTACTGCTTGTTTGTTTTGTTTGGTATTACGGCGCACCAACACTATACATGTCATATGGCACAACATCAGGAACGATGATTTTGGCTAACCTCGAGTGTTACAGAATTTAAGCAACTCTAAGGGGGTAAAAACCACTTCACATGCTTGAGGTAAGAGATGCATAGATTCCAGTCATTCGAACCCATTTAAACGCCCTGGC